GTTGCCTAAATTTTAAAAATGTGATTTCAGACAGAGAAATAAGAGAGGTAATTCGTGCACGGAAAAACACTATTAAACATTTGGGAAGCAACCTGTACAAGCTGAGGCAACGGTTCCAGAATCACAGTTGACGTCTTTGTGCTCTCCACATACGCGTCTCGAGAAATTGGAGGTAACGAAGCCAAATGAGAAGAAAGAAGTTCCAATGATGGATCTAGTAAATTTTCATTCGCATAGCATCCTTCAACTAGCCCCCTATAAAGCCATAAAATAAAGGAGATGGAAGACAGAGTACTGATAACGTGCATATATAAACCTATGGTAAAAGACTTCTTACTCTTAGCATGTCGATCAAACTTCAAATTAAAGCGATATGTACAAATAGTAAAGAAAGCATAAGCTACAGATATATTAATGCAGAAATTCAAAAAACGCGTATTAGTCTAGATGCACTGAAGTTGTGGGGATCCGCATCATACTTGTAAAGTAGCGCCCTCGTTTCAGCTGCTTGAGACAAACTGCGACTTAAAACCGATGTTATTTCTAGAGCTACCTCCGTCCTACCAGACAGCGGAACTCCCATGGCATTCAATGTCTGAAATAGAAAATGTACATTAGTACTCATTCTGTAGAAGTGGTTGGAAAATACCTGGGTAGAAAATGTCGCAAACGACTGACTGAACTGATCGTCTCTCACAGCTGCACGTGCTGTGGAAGACCTTAAAAGTAACAACAAGATTGGTAGCGCCGTGAAAACTGTAGTTTCACAGAGAACGTACTGCTTCATGTGGATTACAATAGCTTCAACTAATTCCGATCTTTGCACGATTATTGGTAGTAAAGCACGGACAAGTGAAATACCCATGCCCTGAATAGCTAAGTAACTTTACGGCTACATCTAGCAGAAGCATAATCAATTAAGTTTTCATTGTACTTCTTTCAGAGAGCAAACTGTTTCCACTAGATGACTGAGCGATTTCCAAGAATTAAGCACGTGGAGAGTGTGCTTAACAACAATGTCAACCACAACATCTAAAACGCATGAAAAACATTGACAACAGGATGAAAAAGTAAACCCAAAAGTAAAATAAGATTTTTTCTAATAATACGAAGTAGGCAGACGGTCTTTACCAATCAGGCAGAGAGAGGACGCTTTATTTGTAGAAGTTGATAACGACAAAAATATTCTGTCTAGTAAAGCTCCAACATTAGTGGGATTGGAGTCAGCAATAGCAAGGAGAAGACGTTTACTCAACGAGAAAACTTCAGATTGTTCATCTACTCTAAACAAAACATCAGTTATGTATCTCTGCAAACAGAAAAAGTTGTCATATCTATTGAAAAACTTCATGAAAAGAAGCCATACGAGAAAACATCACAAGAAAGTGACAGATACTTTCCAAAATACAGATAAAGAAACTGAACCAACCATAACAATTAGAAAAAAAATTTTAACACTTACCTTCCATCGGTGATTTTAGCCACTGTAACATTCTTTTCCAAAAGCAACGAAAATGCAAGATCGAGAAGTGCGTTACCGATTACTACAGTCCAACCTTGATTCCTTGTAACTGCATCAACAATTTTTTCCAAATTTTCCTTCATTACAGCTAAATCACACTCTCCTACTGCATCTCGAATCCACTCACTCTCGCTCAGTTTGCTGTTATGCTTCCATAGTTTCACTATGACCTGCTTTATTTCTGTCAATGCTTGAGTGTGCATCCGTCGTGTATTACTCAAGCAAAGAAGACACAGGAGCGGAAACATTCGAGAACTTATCAAATGTTTCTCACGCTAAAAAATTATCAGGCGGCTTTGATAAAGTGAAGAAAAATGCAGGCAAATTCAGGAAAAATTTGCTAGTCGAAGTTGTTAATGCACAGTTTTGATCTGGCTGAAGCACATTTTCATATTCTCGTTCTAAACTTTTTACTGCTCAAGTAATCCGATTAAGGTTTGATAAAAAAAAGTTAGGAATTCAAAAAGACTTATGAGCTTGCTCTAAAAGAAGCTTGAAGATCACTCAGCAAGTATATGAAAGCTAAAAAAAACCTTTGCAGCATTGAATATACAACGAGACACTACAGCGCTGGACGACAACGACGAATGTAGAAGAACACACAGAGGGAGCAAATCCGACAAAGAGAAATTTACTTCACGCAAGAGAAAATCACAGACCTGAATGAGCGGTAGCACCACAAACGAGCTCATAAGTATTGTTCCTCAGTTACTAAACATTAGATACAAAGTTACGAACCTCCTCCATAAGACCCATTGGAACATCATTTACAAGCACAACTAACTTTCCGCAAAGCAAGCGATCTGGAGATTTTGCTAAACAACTAGTAACGAATTCAGCCAAAACGTCCTGCATGTTACATTCTCTGGAAACAAATCAGACACAGAAAATTTTCCAGAAAATTTTACCCAAACTATTTTACCATAACTTTTACAACTCTTGTCAAAAAAATTTTATCATTAGTCTATCCGTTCCAAAAACAGTACAAAAAGGAAGAAATTATCTGAAGTTACTTACTTAGCCAAAGATGCAACAGCGGCAATAGAGTCTGAAGCCATGGAGTCATTGAAACACTGTAAAATGAACTGTCGGCGAAATGCGCTACCTGAATACTTTTTATCTTTCACCACAAAGCATTCAGAATCTACCTCAGCTACTTGCTTAAGAATGATATATCCCAATCCAATCCACCTGAAAAATTTCTAAAGCACGATAGACAATTGACTAGAGACAGATCAATAGTAACTGATTCAATAACTTTTTTTTATACAAAATATATGGATTGACTTTTCTGGTATAGGCGATGCCTCGAGAAATCGTTCCATAACATAAATGCACAGAGACTTCAATTCGTCTGCCTCTAGCTTTTTAACCTATAAACAGAACATATAATTAGAAAACAAAGTTTACTCTGTAGGTATTCAGCAGTCATATGAAACAGAAAAGTTCAGAATAGTGTGTATAAATACGAAATGATTAGGTAGGACCTGAGCCGCGAATGTTGCATGCAAAGTGAACAGAGATTCTGCATTCAAAGTTTCTTTGTGGAATATATCCATAATAAAACGCAACATACGCATCACATACAAGACTTTATGCTCAACGGTGATATCCGCAAGTGCTAAGAACCAATTAGTAGCAAAACGGCTAAACAACTCAGCTCCGTCCAGATGACTTTTATTCAGCAAAAAGTAGCAAAGATTCTCCTAAAAGAAAACAAACAAATCTAATTTGTACAGATAGTTAAAGGTAATATTTAAGTGTAGAAAAACCTTAAAAGAAATAACAGACAATTGCGTAAGAAAATTATCAAAGAAAAATTGTTGGAAGTAAAAAAATACAAAGAACGAGAAAGAAGACAAAATCTGTTAAACCGATCTATTTCATTAAAATTTTCTGAATTTCTTACGAGTTTCTACAGTAAGACGCAAAATGTAATGAACAACCGTTTTTAAAGCAAAGCATCTTAGTAGTTAGCAACGGAAAGTCTAGCAATGCGTGAAAATTTAATATTTTCAACATACCCATCGTGTATCATCTCCAAGTTGAGAAAATAATTTGCAAGCTTGCTCAGCATAAGAAGAGTTGACATGTCCACTTTTCGAATTCTTTTCTACTTGCGCACAAAAGCATAGACAAAAATTTTCATGTCGTTTACTTTTTGAAGCTTGCGATAACTGTTGTGTTGGCAGACTCATCTAGAAAAATCAAAATAAAGAAAGGCCATGCGGTATGTAGAATAATAAAATAAGGCAATATATTTGTCACCGTCAGCACCCGTGTAAGTATTCGAGCAAAAAATGTAAAATCCTTAAATTTTAGATTGTAAAGTTTCTAACTGAATACAGTCTAACACATCTCAACTTTTCATCTTCAGAGCAGCAGAACAAAATCGGTTATCAGACAATTTAGACGGCCAATCAGCGGTTACAGAGAGAAAAACTTCAGATAGGAAGATTGAAGGCGAAACATCGAGCAACATCAGTAGGATAATAAACAAGTCCAAAACAACAATGACATTTAAAACCGCATAAAAACCTTTTTGACATATCGGATCATATCTGCTTGTTTGAAGAAAACCTTAACAAATCCATAAAAGTAAACGAAGCTGCAAGAAGAATAGGAAGCAGCAATTGAAAAAAATTGTTGCTTCAACAGTGGAGCCCTTGCGGTGCATAACCCCACAGGCCAATGTTTAAAGTGACATTTTTCCCGCCAAATGGTGTAATCAAAGAAAAATATCTGATTGTGGGTACGGCTGTCCTGTTGCTGATTATGTGCCTTCTGAAAGTGATGTTTTTCTTAGTTTTTGCAACATCTTACTGGAACCAATCTTTACAGTTTTTAGTGGAGGTTTTAATAAGCGTATTTATGATCTTGGTTTCGTTCTTATAGCTCTATGTGACAAAGAATAGTGAAATATATATATATATATATATATATATATATATATACA